TAACCCTTCCTTCAGCCTCTTTACATGGCCCAGCTCACAGCATGGAATAAATCCAGGAACCAGCAGCATTATCCATCACACCCCTCTCCACTTTGCAGTGCAAGCTTGGCAATACATTTACTTCTAAGGTGACGTAGAGGGGTGTAGCAGATGCATCCCAGCTTCACCGCGTCTTGCGGCTGAGAGAAGCCCAGATGGGAAAGTGCTAATTGCACCATTGCACCAAGGCACCAAAATTTTCAAAAAGATTAAAATTAGAGAAATTGTCTGGCCAGCCTTTTGCTAGGCAGCCTGCATGCATAATCTTTCCCAGGGCAAACCAACAACTGAAACGTGCAGATCATAATAAATGGTAACAGCAGCTCTCATTAGCCTTTCCTCCTACCCCGATCTGACTGTTGGCTGATGTGTGTAATAAGTCACTTAATGATCTAAGATTTGTTTAAAAAGAAAAAAAAAAAAAAAAAAAAAAGGTTTCCAAGCGGATTTGTCTACCTTTGAATGGGCCTAAATCACAGGTTCAGAGCCTGCCGTGGGTGATCATAGTCTGGGGCTTGTGTTTGTTTATCAATAAAGCCCAGCCCACTTAGCACACAGTAAAAACCCTCAGCGAAGGGGCAGCTCATCCATCAGGCTGGTTGGGTTTCGTCTCTTCAGACCACAACTCTCTTGCTAGGATGCCCAAAGTGCGTGCAGAGACTTGGAGCATCCAGCTGTGCTTACAGTTCCCACTGGATTGCCTGTACCCGTGTAAAGATTCTGTGTTTTAACCCCAAAATCCCACTTGGCTGCATGAGGCCCTGCAGGAGCTCAGCTCTGTGCCAGGGCTTCAGTTTGCATTGGCTAAAGCTGGTCTCCACAAAGCCAGAGGACTGACCCTCTTGGATTTCATCCAAGCTGGAGAAGCGAAAGCACATATTAAATAAATACTGCAGCCTTAAAACCCCAGCATGCTGCTGCTCCCTGGTTTCTCTGCTCCTGGTGCCGTACGCAGAAGGAAGCGGCTTTCCCTCTGCCTCTGGCTGTTTTGGTTTTGCTCTTGCAGATCTTGTCTTTGCTGCAATCACCCGACTCCTCAGAGTCCTACCTACCGTGCTGGATACGTCCCTTTTCTCCTGTTTTCTGTTCTTGAGATTCCATTATAGATTTTTTTTTTTTTCTTTCCCCCACCAATGGCCAAGATGTTTCTCAAGATCTGGCACAGCCTCACAGGTAGGGCTGCGTGTCAAATTAAGAGACGGGTGCTGTTTCACACAGTACATCCCAGATGTTTGTCGTTCTCCCCATCTCCCACAGCATCCTATCGAGGGCCACTGGGTTTGCTGTGCAGTGACAAGCTCCCACAGCCCAGGGCCTGACGGACCCTGCCCCAGCCCGTGGCACAAGCGTGGTCACAGCAGACAGCACTTGCTGAGCTGCCCCAGCTTGCTCGCTCAATCCTGTATGCCAACACTTTCTTTATGCCAGGGCTGCAGTCAGGATGATGGATCAAAATTACCCTCAGGTCTCCCGGGTACTTAGAGTTAGAAGGTTAATAAGAAGTCAATCACTCTTCTTAATGGTGGTAAAGAAATTGGCCAACTGCTGCACAAACCCACGTTTTTTAAGGATGAGGAATTAATTCATGCAGCTGCTATTTGGCCATTTGAGCATTTTTTGGGGAAGACTTGCTGTCTTCCTAGAGCCTGCAATGCCCTTCCTGGTCTCTCCCCTCCTGCCTGGCTCAAGTCTGCTCCAGCCCACAGCAATGTGCCCCCAGCAGCAGTGACTGCGGCCAGGGACAAGCTCCTCTCTTCAAACATAAAATGCCTGAGTAACACACACAGAGGAGCTGAGCAGTTTCTGGGGCATGAAGAAGGAAGGAAAATTGATTTCCTTAAGGAGACCTTAACATTGCATAGCCCAGTTTGGGTGAAATTCAGTCATTTTGCTCACAGCACACAAGCAGGTGCTTTTCTATTAGAGCTGAAGGGTTGCACTGGGCCACACGAGCCCATAAAGTGCTCAGGAAACCACGAATAAAAAAACACCAAACCAATTTAGTTCTTTCCTATAGGGTGTTCCCTGAAAGCAAACAGTTTGTGTGCAATGACAGTGATCCAAGAGCCAGGTGATGATCGAGGCCTTTGGCACAGCTGTTGCATCCAGCTCCGATTTCAGTACCTGCTCAAGCCCAGGAGAGTTTGTGAAATTACTTCCCTTTCTGCCACGAAGCAATATCAGAAAGCCACAGCTTAAGTGCAAATTGAAACTGGGAAGAGAGCTTGTTTTTCTAGTGTTTAGCCAAGCCTCTAGACAGAAGCTGACTTCAATCCCAATGCCTGTCTGCATCCAGTTCTTCCTTGTAGTATGATCTTCAAAGGAGGAGTAGGAACAAAGTACTGCTCAACAGACCGCGGAGCATAATCCAGCATCACCAAGGGAACTCTAAAAGAGGCCTTTTGCCCCGCCCAGCCTCCCCATCACAACCTGGCCAAACTCTGCGATATGTTTTTGGTCTAAAAAACAGCACCCAGGAGTTTGCCTGCTCTCACCCCAGCTCGGCTGGGTCACAGCCAGGTCTCCATAGCCAACCTGTGGCCACGGGCACCCGGTACATGGCTTTTGTGCTGTTCAGGAGAGCAAAAGAGTAGCTCTGGATTTGGAGACTCTCTTGTTAACCAGCACACAACCTACGAGGCATGGACCTTGGGAGTAAAGCTCTCATTTTTCCCCTGGTTTGAAATAACAGTCTGTGGGCAGTCAGCTCTCATGGGCAGCTTGGAAAAACCCGCCCAGAGGAGACAGCAGAGCAGCGTCTTGGCCCCGTGTCCTCCGCAGCATTACGTTATCTGGCCAGCAGCTTAACCCCCAAGTGCAAATGCAGTTTTCTCAACTGGTGCACATGGGTGTATCTGATGGCAGGCAGGATGTCAGGGCAGCCCTTGCCACAGCTTGTTCTGTATTTGCTGCTAAAGCCAACAGAAGTCCTGTTAAGCCTTGCTGACTGCATCCGCTGTGTTGCCCCACCAAACAAAGTGGCCTCCTGCAGCGATCGGGAAACCGCTGCCTGTTGACTCAAAGGCAGGCAGCGAATATTCCACAGGGGTGTGAAAGACAGACAAGTAAGGCACTGCAAATAGCTCTGTACCCTCGGCAGAGCAGACATGCAAGGGCAGATCATCAGCCAGACATTTGCAATACCTTGCACAACCCCCGTGTTGCCCTCCCGACGATATTCCATCAAACTAGAGCACTTACCTCATGGCCACGCAACCATGCCATCCTTCACGGGGGGGACACACCTCACAGCATGTCCCTTTCTGCTGCTGGGCTGAACCAGGCTTCCTGCTCGCCCTGGCCCTTTCCTAACACCTCAAGACACGCTGGCTTGGAGCAAACTCTTCAGCTGTAGCTTGTAGCAATTTCAGCCTTCCTGTGATTATTTAGGAAAGTTTATTCTGGTGATGATGATTTTAGAAAGTACACACACAGAGTCAAGCATTTTTTGGGGGTTTATTTCCATAGAAACTGCGGGAATTTCACTCCTCCTTGGCTTGCAGGTCTATAGTAACATCAAGTGGCCATGGCAAGCTCCTCATACTCCAGTGGTGAACATAGGTATTAATCAGTCAACAATAAAATGGTTTGGTACTTACAAATAACCTTCATTTTCTTCCACCCTGCCTCTATTCTAAATTATTCCCCCTAAGTCTCGTGTGGAGCTCACAACACCTTGCAAGGTTGCCTGTCTCTGTACGTTATTTACAAATTAAAGCTCAACACAATGTACAACTCTCTAGCTGTGTTAATTCTGTAACTCCTCGGGGGAAAAAACCCAGTGCTTACCAGCTGCCTACACTCACCCCCAGATCACAAACAGGTCACAGCTTGGGGTGCACGTTCTGGGATCACTTGTAAAACATCCTACCATGCCGTGCAAGACTTAATTTCAAACAAGGTGCGTTGGCACCGAAGGAGACACCCTTCAGCACCTGTGTAGCGGAGGTGGTGGGCTTGCTCAGCACCTAAGAAAAGCAGTGTTAGCACTGGTTTGCATTTTCAGCTAGAAAACCCAACAGGTGCTGAGTAGAACCATTCCCTGGCTCAGGCTGTAATGAAAGGCAAAAGCACTTCTGCAGCTGGCCTGGTTGGCGCGAGGCTAACACGTGTGCCACCGCAGCGGAGAAGACATGTGAGCCCGCTAAGTTGACATGAGCGATTAGCATGCACGAGGCTCCTTCCGCCTCCTAATTCACTCAGAATAATTCATTAGCAAAAAATCCTCAGCAGTGCTAGTCTGCCAACAGGTCCTCATTGTAGATTTGTTCTTTGATTCACTTTAGAAGATAAATTGACCTGTGAAACTCTAGTCTAACTCATGCTAATGAGTCTCTATAGGGCTATCGTAAGAATTAATTTATTTATCTAAGGATTTCTCCGTAGTGCTCATCTCCTTGGCAGCTAGTCTGAAGAGACATAATATGTCTAGCACACTGGAAATACTAGATCAAACCACCCAACCCTGGAGGTGTCAATCCTACATTTGCTGTCTTGGACTAAAGTTGTTCTGGCTCATGTGTCCTCCCACTTAAAGAGCTTCATAATCAGCAGTGTGAGAAATGTTACACCAGCACCAGCAATTCCTGTCCATCTAATTAGAGGGCTTCCTTACCCTTTGTTGCATCTTTAAGAGCAGCAGGATAGCCTCTTTATTCCAGGGCTTTGCAGCGGCTGTAGACAAGAACTCTGCAGTCTTTCTGAACTATAATTTTTGAATATGTTCTCCTTGTTTCTGGCCATCTTCTGTCAACAAACAGCTTTGAAATGTCTCTCTGCCTCCCAACTGCACAGATAACACTCCCAGCCCCTACATAACAGATGATTAGCCCCAGTTGAACATCCTACCTAAATAACTCATGTTCTTGCCCCCTCCGAGAACAGCCAGGGAGCCCAAAGCGTTGCCACCAAGCAGAGATGTCCCCCCACATTAATGTCCCTCTTCTTTTCTTCCTACTCAGCTTGAAAGCTGTCCTGATGGGGAAGCCTCAGGACAACACAGTGGACTTGTCAGGCATCCCACTGACGCTGAAAGACTTGGACCGTGTCACGTCCTACCTCCAGCACAGCTCGGAGCACATCGACACGGTGGAGCTGTGCTTCACGGAGCTGACGGACGACATGCTGCTGCAGCTGCTGCCGGCACTCTGCGTGCTGCCCCATCTCACCACCCTCTCCCTCAATGGCAACCGGCTCACCAAAGCCATCCTACGGGACCTCACTGAAACCCTGAAGGACCCCAAGAAGTTCCCCAGTGTCACCTGGATTGACCTTGGCAACAACGTGGACATCTTCTCCTTGCCACAGCCTTTCTTGGTCAGCCTAAAGAGACGATGCCCTAAGCAAGGCAACTTGCCAACCATTCTGGAGTTCGGCGAGGGTCAGGTAAGCGATTTGGAGAGCCAAGATGGCCTGGCTGAGAGTCAGGAGGACCTGCAAGCTGGACCAGACAAGACTGATAACATAGGCTTGCAGCAGACAGACAGAACAGTCGAGGTTGGGGAGTTCCCCAACTCGGAGCAAGGTGCTGCGACAGCGCAGACATGATGTTTGGCTCTGTGGCTCTTGGGTGGGCACATTGAGCAAGGATGACTTAAAACCAAGACCTCAGCACTGGAGGTCCCAGCAGAGGGTCAAGTCACATGGTGGGATGCTTCGGGAGTCTGGACTGCTGCCTTCCACCCGTAAGATGAATGTCAACTTTTTTTCTTTTCAAAGAACGCATAAAGGTGATCGCATTGAATATTTGTATTTTATAAAAGCTGGCCAGGTATTTTTAAACATTAGTGACGTGTTGTGCTTTTTAACCTCTCAAAAATGCATCTCCAAGGTGGTGTAATAAGAGGCCCTTCAAAGAGCACAAAGGGGGAGAAGAAAGGTGCCCAGACTTTGCAGGGAAGGGCTCCCTTTCCTTAGCACTGGATCTAGCCAGACCCCAGCTGCTCTCCCACATGTGATAGAAGACAGCAGTCCCCCCAAAGAAGACTGCCACCAAGATAAACCTTAAATCCTTTCCTATTCTGACTTCAGGAGTTGGGGATGAATAGCATATCTGCTGAGATACAACAAAAGTCTGATCACCCCAGATCTGACCACCTAACCAGGGGTGTTTCTCCTAACATGGTGAGCCAGCCCAGAGGGAGAGCTTTGCTTTCCTGGTGCGGAGCTAAATCCCAGCCCGCAGCATGCCTGGACACCACTCTCACCCTCCAGCCTTACCGAAATCATGCTGGCACTTGTGCCTGCCCAGTATTCATTCAGATGTAAAATCCAGTTTCCCACCAGCCGTGCTGCTGTAATAACTCCAGAGCTTTTAGTGTGGTACCTGGAGCTTGCACCAGCAACGCTGAGAGTATTTGATCCATTTTGGGGAGCAATCCACAAAATCTGGAGCCAGGGCTCAGCTCAGGCTCATTCCCGTTGCTGGCAAAAGAGACCAGAATACTGAAGGTTTATAAAATAGAAATAATCCTGGGGTTCACCCCTGTGTCACTGCCACTGAGGGCTGGGTGGACACAGCCAGATAGGGATTGTTGGGTCACTTGGCTGTGTGTGTCCATCCCTCCCGGACCAGAAGTGCTTTGTTTCTAAAATGTTGTTTTGGGTTTGTTGTTTTGTTTTTTTTTTTTCTAAGAGACACAGTTTTGATTTTTATTTTTGATGGAAAATGCATCACCCCAAAGCAGCAGCGCTGGAATGGGCACTTTGGCTTTTGAACCAGAATTTCATTTGATCCTAAACCTGGGGGAGGGCAGGAAAGTGTGGAAAAAAACTTCCTCTCCCCTACATTCAAAGGACCAAGCATGACTCCCTTTGCTAAGAGGGAGCCCTTTTTTATCTATTTAAAGGCCATCCCTGAGCAGCTTTACAGCATCCTTTCCTGGCTCGCAGCAGTGACCCTCTGGCTTTGCTTGCTCTGGGTGCAAATGCAGTCAGACAGTTTGGTCATCTCTTTGGCTCTGTTCATTTAACATCACTGCACCAGGAAGCTTTTTCCAGAGGGGCTTCATGCTGTCAGTTGTTGTTTCTCCTCCGTGCACAAGTAGATAACTTAGAAGAAACTCTGCTACTCGTTTTAATACATTTGGCAACGTTCAGTATGATTTGCATGTATCCGAGCCTTTTTTTCTTTTTTTTAATGCTTTTTCCAACAGGCATGAAAAAACTTTGCAGTGAATAAACTGTTCTGTTTAAAATAAAGGAGCTATCCGTAATCAAAATAAATGACAATGTTTAATAAAGACCCAGTGTTGAATTTCTCCTCTGTACAGGCTGAATGCCCAGCTGACAGCCCAGAGTACCCCAGCAAAAACTACAGCTGAAGGAGAATACAGTGCTAAGCGCTGCAGGTCTGGGTTCTCCAGGGTGCTTAAAAAAAAAAAAAAAAAAAAAAAAAAGATCACTGTAGCTGGCTGGAGAAATAGATAGCCCAGTTTCTGAGCTGGAGCCTGCATGGTGGGCACAAGGTGGACTCAAAAGCATCGTAAATGCATCTGTTAAATTTTAAACATCTCCAGTGTGTAAAACTAATGTGAGAGAAAGATACACTGAGAATGAAATACTGCTCCACAGGGTATTTCTCTCCAGTGCTACAGTCTCAGTGCACTGAAGGAAATGGCTTCTTATTCGCAGCAAGGACTCTCTAGATAATCTTTTGTTCCAGCACCCAAACCATGGCAGGGGACAGGACATAGAAGCCAACATGCTGGTGGGAGCAGGATTGTCCTAACTCACAAGAGACCTCTCCCACAACACTTGGGGACTATTTGCACCATTACTACAACTTTAATAAAGTACCTTTAATAGAGGTATAAATTAAGCAAGATGGGATACGCCAGGCTGGCCAGGTCTCAGATGCATCCCTAACCATCAGCCCATCCTTGGGGGACATTGCACTTCTCCCCCTCCCCAGGAGCCACACACAGGGGTCTCCTCGCAGGCTGTGAGACAGACCCTATGGCACATGCGTTTTGTTTGTATAGCAAGGTTGACAGGCAGCTTGTAGAGCCTGTGCCTAGATCCAGAGCTGGCCATGAGAGACAGGCAGCAAATCCACCATCACTCCATCTGCCACATGCACACGGTGCCCTGCTGCGCCAGTAGTACATCCCTCATGGAGATTTGTTAACTCGGTGTATGGGGATTTCCTCAAGAACAAAGTTTCTCCTTGCAAAAAAAGAAACTCTAGCACTTTCTTCTGTAAGAGGTCAGGCACAGGTTTGCTCAATACGTCAGTACTCAACACTGGACTCCCCTCCTTCTTATGCACAGCTTAGGCCCCTCTGTCTGTTTAAATTATTTAAATCACAAGCTCCTTGCTGCAGGCTTTTTATTTTCTGCTAAGTATTTGCACAGGAACCAGACATCCTGGGCCTCAGCATCTGTCTGGGCCCCCCAGTTTGGCCGTGCAAATTCATAAACCAGAGGCGCTTTGCATTTAGAGCGCTGCATCATTTATTGATGCTTTGCACGCTCAATTCCCTCGCCAACACAAGCCACCCAGGAGGTTGCTCCTGCCACATTTCCTCTCCAGCTGAGCTTCTACCTGCTGTGAAACACATCAGTCAACTGGGAGATATTTTGCATTTATCAGACTCTTTTTACAAGGGGCTACCAGCAGCCCACCGGCTCAACTTTTGGCTGCAGAGGGCTAAATGCCAGGCTCTGTCCTCAGTGCTGCTGCAGATGTGCTGCAAATCAGGAGCACCTCATCCCAGCCATCCCCCTCCGCAGTGAAATGCTGTGGTTGGGTCCCTTGTGTGATCACCCAGGGCCATGCTGCGAAGGACAGACCTCCAGAGAAAGACCCCACGTCCCCCAGTCCTTTGCCCCGTGCAGATGTTGAACCGCTTGAGCTCGCTCAGCTCCACTAGTACAGCCAGGCTGTACTAGTATCTCTGTGCCCAGCGGGGATTTAGCCCTTCCAAGAAAAGGGAAATAACTAGAAAGGGCCTTTTAATAATATATTTGTGCATGCTGAACCGTGCACCAAATTACTGACTTTCATAGGAAAATAAAAAACCCTATAGCTCTAGTAGACAGTTACTCAGTTATAAAAACAAGAGGGCTTTACTAATCAGTCTCTTCCTCGCAGTGTGGATTAGGTCAATTAGCCATTTATTGCACTCAGGATGACAATGATCCTGTGGGCTCAGTAAAGAGCGGTTTGTTTTAAAAAAGCAGCGTGAGATTGCTTCCCTTCCCAGCTCATCAGCATCAAAACAAGCTTGGATCTCAATCCATATATAATCAGTGTTCCCCATGCTACAATGGGTTGCTGCTTCTGGTCAGAACCTTTTAAATGGCTCCAGAAGAAGGATTCGAGTACTGAAAAATCACTGCTGTTAGAATATTAAAGTTGGATGAGGTCATTTCTTGTCAAAGGGGGGGAGGAAATGGCCACCATAAAATAAAAATGTCCATAAAACATCCAAGCCTGGTTTGGTTAGTTATCTCCACTAGAGCCACACAGCTTTGCCTGTGCATGAAAGAAACTAGTCTGTGGGAGAAGATATACGCCTTCAGCAACAAAAATGTAATTGGAAATCATTCTGCACAGATTGAAGAGCCCACACTGAGGGGAATCAAAGCAGTAGGCGAGGAATGAGAGAAGCATGAAAGGGCTGATGCCACGTGCTCCAGAGGGCTTGTTCCAGCTGGGTTATCTCAGAAGAGTTTGCACAAGCCCTATTTGGGTTTTGAAGATGGTTATTCATTTAAAATGGGAGTTACATTCCTGGGGGTGTTGGGAGCAGGCAAGAAGGCTGGTGATGGCCACTCCCAAGCATAGACTGCACTGGAAAGCAAGGAAGCCACACAAAGCACTGCTGGGGACAGCAAGAAGCTCCTAAATACTTCAGCCAAAAGCCCTGCTTGCTGCTCAGCAGTCCTTTGGAGAGGAACAGAAGACTGCATATATCTACCCAAATCTGCAGCCAAGGAAAGGCCAAAAAGTGATCTAAAGGACTAAGGGGACAGCAGGGGAGACAGCAGCAGCCGAGCCGGCGAGAGCCCTGCCCCTGGGAATGACACCACACCGAGTTATCGCACTGCAGCTCATTTCGCATCTGAGCACGTCTGTTTTGGCACTTTCCCATGGTTCAACACACCTAATTTCAGCAGCGGGTGAAGAGGTAGCTCCTGAGCTCTTTCAGGGACCACTCAAATCCTCAAAAATGCAAAGACTCCCCTGTTCCATTAATTGGGAGTGTCTCACTGGTAGCTGCTATTGCCAAGGAAACCGATAGACCTTATTAGCAGTATTCATGCATTAATGCTTATGAGGAAGGGAAAAACTAACCTCCTGTCGTGGTTCAACCCCAGTCAGCATTAAGCACCACACAGCCACTTGTTCACTCCCTCCACCTGTGGGATGGGTGAGAGGAAAAAAAAAAAAAAAAAGTAAAACTCATGGGTTGAGATAAAGACAGTTTAATAGGACAGAAAAAGAAGGGGAAATAATAGTAATAGAATATAGAAAACAATTGATGCACAGTACAATTGCTCACCACCTGCAGAGTGATGCCCAGCCAGCCCCCGAGCCATGATGGCCCCCAGCCAGCTCTCCCCAGTTTATATACTGGGCATGACATCATGTGGTATGGAATGCCCCTCCAGCCTGTTTGGGTCAGCTCTCCTGCTGTGCCCCTTCCCAACTTCTTGTGTCCCTCCAGCCTTCTCGCTGGCAGGGCATGAGAAGCCGAGAAGTCCTTGATTTAGTAGAAACACTACTTAGCAGCAACTCGGTGTGTTCTCAACATTATTCTCATCCTAAATCCAAACCACAGTACTATACCAGCTACTAGGAAGAAAATTTAACTTTTATTCCAGCTGAAACCAGGACACCCCTCCAGTGTAATGTTCCCATATAAGCAACAGATTTAATCTCTTCCCAGTCTCTTTGGTACACAGATGTCATCCTGGGAACATCACACAGTGATCCCACTCTTCCTTTGCTCCAGAGGCAGTTGAGTTTTTATCTGCCTGAGGGCCCTATTCCACCAGCAGACTACACACAGCAAGAGGAGATGATCTTTCCAGCTCTATTAAATGTATTTAGCATTCAATTCTGAAGGAAACACAGGAAACCAGATCAATCACCCACAATCCTCTGACAGCCTACAGTGATGTGAGTTACACCGCTTCATACAAGCGGGCCCCATCTTCACAAAATGGTCTCAAATGCTCAACAGCTATAAACAAAAGAGGTGATGACCCCGCAATACCACAACCTGCTGGGCTTTGGAAATTCAGCCTTTCTTTTCTATGCTTTGGGGAAATAGAGGTCTTCTAAGATGATGGAGTTAAAGGCTTGATGGGGAGAGCTCCCCTCCCTTGCAGCACCCCACAACCAGCAACTGCACACTTTCAAGACAGGGGTTTACACACACCCAGGCAGCATATCGTAACTACTACTTATTGCACAAAGCTAGCCAAAAAATAAGAAACACAACAGGTTTTGATCCTATTTACACGTGCGTGGTCAAGGACAGCTTGGCCAGGAAGAAAGGCAAAGTGAAGAGCAAACGTCTCCCTGCACAGATTACAGCCATCCTCTCTGCTTTGGGCCCACTGCAATAGCCTGGGCAATGCCATGCTGAGCTACAAACCCCACAAACTTTATAATAAATGCAAGTATCCGCAGCTAGCGACCGCTTGCAAGCAGGCAGGTTCATAGCCAGGAGATGGGGAAATACTAGCACAGGGCTGGCTGCGAGGCTGCCCACTTATTTCACCTCACTGGAACCCGCACACTGCTTGCACCAGAACAGCTCCTCCAAATCCACGCAGGTACAATCCCTTCCCCACCAGGATCAAGCCCTGGGGAGGGATCGAGGCCCCTCTCCCTGATGCACACAGCTCAACGTATTTTTTGCTCTCTCATTTTACTTACATGCATCACACCCACCCTTAGGACTCTTTTTTTTTTTCTTCCTCACCTTTCCTCCTCTTTATTCAGAGGAGAAACTGAACACCAGGTACACAGGAGGGTGTCTGGGCAGGGCAGGCAAATGGTTGTGTCTGCACTTGCTGAAGGACTGAGGCTTCCCTGATGCAGCCTCCTCTCTGCCTCAGCAAAACCCAACTTGTATTTATTTTAATTTCCTTCTAAGGTTTCAGAAAAAAAAAAAAAACAACAACATATTTGCAGGGCTGCACCACACGGAGGATTTCCCATGTGTTCCCCGGGAATGCACAGCACTGCAGGGGAGAACTGAAATAGTAATTAAAACTGGAGAGG